TAGCCCAATTAAAATCCACCAGATTTTATATTTCTCTTTGTGCAAAGTTTGGTTGTTTGTGCCTTTTAAAGTATTGGTTCATTTCATTGATATTATCAAATCTGAGGCAAAGATTTTTTTCATAGTACTCCTCAATTATTACCCTTTTAATGTCTGTGATATCAGCAGCAATGATGATCTTTTTTGTTTATATTAGTCATTTGAGTGGTCTCTCTTTTTTCATTATTAGACTAACTGGAGGTCTTTATCATAACTAAATATAGACCTACTTGATAATAAAACAATTCTTTTTCTTGGCATATTATCCAAGAAAAATGAAATCATATAACAAAAAATAATTATAACTGACTGTTCATTGCATCTTTATGCATAATATGCAAAGCTTGGGAGAGACTCAAATTATTTCCTTTTTTAATTTTTTTTAAGATTTGCTTATTTATTTATTTATGTATGCATACAAGAATTAGGGAGTAGGCTAGAGGTATGGGAGGTGAGAGACAGAGTGGTGAACAGAACCGGCAAACTGAAAATCACTGCTAAGAGGACCAGTGGGGAGACAGGAAAGGTCTGTTGTGCCATGTGGGTTAGCTCCTTGACTTGGGATTGAACTCAGGCTTTAATAGTGATAGCACTGAGACTTAACCCCTGGGCCATGGGAGAGGGTCTCTGAAATACCTTTCTTTCAACAAGAAAATGAAGCAGATTTTGTTATAATGATAATGAAATGTTTCTCAGCAGTAAAAAGGAACATGCTGTAAACACAAAATGTGTAAGTTTTATAGACACCATGCTGGTTGCAAAAAGATGGCTATTTTATGATTCAATCATATAGTGCGAGAAAAAGCAAAATGAATCTATTATGCTAGAAATCAGAAAAGTGGTTTCCTGGGAGGGGAAGGAGCATGATTGACTCTAAAAAAAGAATTTTAGGGGATGATGAAAATGCTTTACTTTTTGACAGAGGTTTGGATATATGTGTATACATATTTTTTAAAATTCAGTTAAGTATTATAGTGAAAGATCTGTGCATTTTAATATGTGCAAATACTATCTTCATTTTAAAAAATACATCAACAGTGCCTAATTTTGCAGGTAGTGGCCAGAATTTAAGCTTATCTTTGAAATTAAAGATAGTTTAGAAAACAAGAATATTAAAAATTCTGATTTCTACTTTGAAAACCAGATGTAATTGGTTTTTGACTAGAGGCTCATCATTTGTCATAGTCAATGCTTTGGGGAGTTTCTCCTTTAAATAATTCCTCTAATCAAATGAAAAAAACATTTCATGTCTTTCATAATGTCATGGATTCATAAATCAATATTTATGCTCTCAATTAAACAGCTAAAAATATTTATACTCTCAATTAAACAGCTAAAAATAGCAGTCACTCTGGTCCAAAGATAGCTAACTTTTAGGGGAGTTATAAATCTACTGATCTGGAACTTATCCAGAAATCTGGGGACATTCTGTCACGATAAAACTCAGGCATAATATTTTATATGGGTGTTTTGTTAATTGAAAAGAAAACTACCATATGTGAGAAATCTTAGTCACCCCAAGTTGGCAGGGCCCGTCATTTATATACTCTGGATGTACCTAACATCTCTGAGAAAGGTTCTTCTATTACACTCTCCACCTCTGAGTAAGAGTGGCAGCTTTGGGTAATCTCCTCAGAAGGTACTCAGATGTAGCTCACTGGGCATTTCATTCCATTTCTGCTGACTCTAGGTTCAACTCATTCATTCATTTATTCATTCAACAGATATTTAGTGGGTGCTTAGCGAGTACTGTGAGTCTAACCACACCATTATACTCTGTGGGGAGAGGGCGTAATGCCATGGAAAAGACACAGAATTTAATAGGCAGATTGCCGGTGGGGCTGTCTTTAGATGACAGAGGGCAGTTATCTTGCTTTGCTTGATGCAGGTTTTTCTCTCAAAATTAGTAACGAACTACTCTGAAGTAGTGGTAGTTTATTTTAATGTTTGGGTGGAATATAATTTCAGTGGCTCCTTAATAGGCAGCAGATAAGGAAGAGTGATTGGCAAATATATCCCCCTATGAGACAGGCACATATACTTTGCAAAGTCAATTAATAAAAATTTTGAATTGATGAAGTTACATTTTGAAATGTGGTGGTGGAACTAGGCCCCTTATTAAATTATTGCTTAATACACCCACTCTGCCCAGTAGTGTGTTAGGCATAGCAGGCATGCAAAGACAGAGGAGTATATGCTATTTAATCTCAGGAACTGCAGACCTTTCTACATCCAAACAGAGCACAGGACTTTGCCAACTCAACTAGACTGACAACTGCTCCTGGAAAGAAGAATCTCTCTGCTGCAGGACAATCATCTGTGATTCTTGCCCTAGTTTAGTAAGACTACATCAGAGATAATCTTGGACAAAGTTAATACAATTGGTTCCTAGTAATGAGGGAAACTTCATGCCAGGAGAACCCAAAAGTGCCTCCTCAAATAAAGGAAGATGAAGGGTTATTCTAGGGTTTCAAAAGGTAGACTGAAGCCTAAATGAAGCAATATTTTGGTTGGCTTAAAGCAAAAAGGAGCTGTGTGTAAAGAGCCACCACTTGGTTGGAATGCAGTAGATCCAACAGTCTGTTTCTTTGGAACTGAACAAGACACAGATGGAATGAGTCCAAAAATTCTGCATCTGAAGTTCTGTACCAAACCTTTCTTTGTTTCAAATTGACTGAGTTGTAGAGAAGAGCAGGATATTTCATTCTTATTGATAGACTTTAAATAGCCAATTTTTTGACAGTCGATGATTTTAGACAACAAGGAGTCTCAGGAAGAATTCATTCAATTGGGATTATCATGACACTTCACTACTGCAATGACCTTGGAAGAAAAATTCTTTAACTTTGGTATCTGCTATTTGTGTCTGGCATTCCAGTATAATGGATGACCAGTCTGATTTTCACGTTTTCAAGGGGAGGTCCTTTCTTACTGCAGATCCACACAATGAAGTTTCTTAGGCTGTGTTAGCTGATTACAGACTCGGGTAAAGGACAGACACTGGCTAATTTCTCCTTTGTGTTAGGAATAGAAAAGAAGTCTCACACACATAATCTCCCACAGGGGCTTAGCTGCATGTCTGCAGTCCCACAGTGCAAAAGGGGCTTTTTTTAAAGTTTTATTTATTTGTGCATTCAGAACTGGGGAACAGGCCAGAGGTGCAGGGGTGGTGAGAGGATTCACCAGGGACAGAATGAGGAGCAGAACAGGCAGATCAGAACTGCTGAGGGGAGCAGAGGGCGGGTCAGGAGAGGTCTGCCAGGCCATGTGGGCCACCTCGAGGGCTGGGGATAGAACTCTTGCTGAAGTGGCTTTAGCTTCTCAGTGCTGTGCTTTAACCCGCTGCACCACCAGGGAGGGCCCTCAAAAGGGGCTTTTGCTTTATTCCCTTCAAAGACCAGATAAAGTCTCCCCCAGAAGAGCCTTTTCTAGTTTCCCTGGGCTCCAATAAAGGAGTTGTGGGAGCAAAGTATGCACAGTAAAGAGGTCCCCTTCCCCACTCAGAAAGGAGAAACCTTACAAGCCTATTGCTATATAGCTCAGGGCAGCCTTTCTGCTTTCCTAGACAGCTGCTCACTGTTTCTGCAGTGTCCAGTCCTACTGCTTCCTCATAAACTATATTGTTGCCTCCGTCTGCTGTTTCCTGACATTATTTTCTGAAGAGACACCAAGGACCCTTAGGTGTCAAGATCCTCAACAACCCCAAAGCAGAGATGATACAAAGAGCTATAGAAATCCTAAATCCTGAGCCCACCCTGGTGACCAGCAAGTTAAAGTGTAGCACTGCAAAGTGTAGCACTGGCCCCAGTCGCTTCCATTTGAGTTCGACCTGCAACCTGGAGGTGACCCACATGGCACAGCAGACCACTCCTGTCTCGCCTACTGCTCCCCTCAGCAGTGTGCTTCATTGATCTGCCTTTTCTGCTCCCCACTCTGACTGGTGAATCTTCTCACCTCCCCTGCATGTCTGGCCTCTACTCCAGTTCTGTATGCACAAATAAATTTTCAAAAACCTACAAGAAAGAAATCCTAAGCTCCTGCACTTGTTCAGCTAGGTCCTCTCCTCTCTCCAACGTTTCCTCCAGCCCTCAGGGTGTCCCAAGATCACACCAAGGCAATGGGAAGCCAAGAACCAGAAACATCCTTACTATTTTAAACAAAACTCCTTGGAGGCTGTCGAATTAGTGACCCTGGCTTGAGAAAAAGACTTTGGAATGATGAGCGACCACTTCCCAGCGGCCTCACTGTGGGAAGGTCAGAGGCGTGCCTGGTGGATTGAAGCACCCTTGCCAGGCACACCGCCAGCCACTTCCAAACCCGCAGACAAACCCACCCACCCTCGCCCGGGCTCCAGGCCCCGTCCTGCTCCGCCCTCTGACGGTCAGGGAGTTCCTTGGGCCCCGCCCCGGCCCTGAACTTGGCTCTTGTCCCCGCCCCTGCATGGCGCCCCGGAACCGGCTGCTGGCGCTGCTGGCTCGCGGGAGCTCTGAGTCCGGAGCCCGAGCGGGAGCCAGAGCCAGGCCTGCAAC